GCCGCCTTAATTGTCAAAAAATTGCAATTTTAAAATTTGTGTTCGGGTGATGCAATACTTTTGACCGCCACTGTATGTATTGCTAAGCAATGAGGCACTGCCTCTAAACGTTTATTACTAGAAAATTTATTATTCCAATGCTTTACAGTACCATGGTAAAACTATTTTGAGAGTACAGGAACCAGAATATTTTAAATTTGCAACAACAAATTTTGGTGGATAAGTTGTCACTGCGTCATATGACCTGAGTAATTTAGCATACGTAAATTGTCTGCGAATACATTGCTGATTACACGTGTAGTATATACGAGTTAAATATTAACTTTGATTTGGCGAATTTGTTGACTACCGCTTTGCGGTTTATCAATCCAACCCTTTTTAAGTCAAGTAGAATATTTTGCATCAACTTCATTGTTCTTTGAATTCTCAACTGAAAAAATATTTGAAATTAGCTTAAGCTCAATCGCAAGTAGAATTAAGAAAAATACGAACCTTAAACATCCAAACAGCGCCAATTAGTTCTAAGGTCAATGAAAACGACTCTACATCCTTTGGGATCTTAAAGATGTCACTCTTGGTAAGACGCATAACATATCCAGCCAGATTGTCCAATGTCATTAGCATCATAACGCGTCCTATATAAACAAACAATTAATGACAGAAAGAGAATGAAAAAGTTTCTTTTGCGTATCTCCATGTATATATCCAACGGTCTCTAGCTTCTGAATTATATCAGCTCATCATTTCACCCGATTGCAGAGTGTAATAAACATATCATGAAGCATTTTTGGCAGTTTCAATCTGCTCTCGACAAGTCATTTAGACCCATCTTACTATTATAGAACCTCCCTACTTCTGAACCTCCGAATTTCAATGTCTGACCATTGGTATTCTTTCTGATGATCGCATCAGAATGTCGTTCAAGTGCTTTTTTGTCTTTGCGCTTGCGTTTTCTGTTTTTTTCTGTCACTACTTGCAATATTGCAGGATTCCCCCTATATTGATGACAGCATATAGTTAATATAATTTAGAGATAGCAGTAAGTTGTGCAAGCTATCACCTGACAATATCCACTCCTGTTATGTTTCTGAAAGTTTTGTCAATAATAGGGCCCTAGAGATTGATGTTGTACCAGTTTTCAAGATGATCAATGCTGAGTGCATTTGGTTGCCTTTCGTAAAGAAGAACTCTGCCAAATAAAACTAAGCTCAGTATCAATGCAAAATATTTCTCATGCACTAGCAACACTTACAGACTATGAATAGCATAAATTATTATATCAGTCGAAAAGTCCTTTTGAACAGTGTATCCAGCACCTTGACGTACTGAAAACTGTGCCATCATCTCACGAATATCACGCACATTTGTCTATAAGGAAGATAAAAGTCAATTAATTGGACAATAAAGGCGTTTTTTTAAGTGACAGACAGCATCTTATTAAATGCATCAAGACAAGCTACCACATCTTTATCGAGTTCTGGATCATATTTGATGTTTTTAGATTTAATCTCTTCTCTTTCTTCATCTGTGAAGAGTCCCATAATTTGGCAGTCTTCCAAATCGATGATGAATGAGTGCGACAAGCTATTTTCTAGACGTCATTTATGGATCATACAAGAATGAAAGAATTTGCAATGAAATTGTAACTTACTCTTCAAACTGATGCAAACAACCGAACTCATAAATGACATCCTCCACATATCGTCCTGATTTAAGCCTCCATTTCAGCTCTTCATTCATATTCTCATACATCTCTTGATATTCCGTTCTCGATACATTCGTTAGTCGAGCTCCCGTGGTTCCAGAAATATCTATGTAAGCATCCTCATAGTCATCCTGTTCTTCAAAATCATTATTCTCTTCTTCTTCCTCTTCTATATCTTCCTAAAAGAGTAAAAGCACTGTCAGTTAAAAGAAACATCTCTTATAAATAGTGTAGCTGAAAGAACACAGACTCTAACCTTCTCCATTTAGGTCCTCTCGTCATCCACATGTTCATCGAATGAAACAGTACAAATCTGTGTACACATGGAAAGATGAGAAGAATTTTTGTTGTGAGCAGTACATAAAAAAAATGATGGGAAATAAATTGCCTTATCTTCTAGTGTATATGGCCGTTCAGGTTCTATCACTTCGTCACTTTTGTTTATTGAACGAAACTTTTGGCCGTCTATAATATTTGATGATATTTAAAAAAATGCAAGAAAATTTTTTGTTTACATTATTAAGCACTTCACCTTCGTAATTTTCAGAGCTACATTTATGACTTCTTAAAATGAATTCATGTCTTTTGCTTTCAATTGTGTTAGCGTGCATATTCAACTTCTTGTCACAGTCGAGAACGTAATTTAGCTAACAGAAGATTATTAATCGTAAATTCTAATAAAATAGTGCATCAAACAGACAACAGTAAAAAAAAATTTACGTCTTCAGATTCAATCTGTAAAGTTTTTATTTCATTTTATACTTTGATGTGCTAAAGATCTCATTGTAAATTCTGAGTCTTATAATCATCCCAGAACTTCACAACTTCGGGAGAACATTTAATATTCTAGAAACTCAAGAACATATCAATCGTTAATGGTTAATTATTACAAATTAAATTGCATCCATCATGTGCAATGATATAATACATGACGGACTGCAACGAGCTCAGCGATTCAACACTAAGCGACTCAGCGGACACACCAGTGTATTACAGCAATAGACTCAGCGAACCTACCAAAAGCCCCAATTGACTCAGCGAACAATTGTGCTAATCATGCTGGAACTCAGCGGATCTATAAAAGGCAATGAGAGCAGGGCTCTTGGCCCGTCAACGAGTTAGTATGGAAATATTACATATCTGCCAATTTTCAAATAATTCTAGCGCCTTTCGTACGCGTACATTATCTTTGTCGTTGTTGATAATGTTCTGAACAAAAGTATTAAAAGCACTATGTTCTTTGTTGTGGTTTAATATTTGCGACATTTTAGATCTCCATTTTAAGAAACTGACAAGCGACCATTCAGACGGTTCAGTCTTATAAAAATAATTGGATCCTAAAACTTTTTCCACAAGCAAATTTTGGTTTGATTAAGAAAAGTTGTTGTAAGCTATAACACCATACTTTTTTCTTATATATATAGTTAATTTCAAGTCACATGATTTTGATCGAAAAAATTTTGATGCAAAACTTGACTTTGTAAAAGATTATTTCCTGTAAGAGAACTAGATCAGGTAGTTTCGAGACTACAACATGGATTCGAGGAATTATAAATAAGAAATGCAATATTTCCGATTCAAGAGTACCACTATTCATTTTTACAACACCTTATTATATTCATGAAATTTGATTTTTTTTATCGCAAGTGCGATTCTGCGCTGAATATTACCGCGTAGAGCCATTTGATATACTGCACGAAATTATTGCCTGGTCACATAATATAATCTTACTAGTATAAGTAAGATTTTGGCAGGGGGCTTCGGCTAAAATTACAGTCACGTGATTTTTCTCTGTATTTCACTGCGCTGATGAGGCACGTGTTGACGATCACGATTCTCTCAAATATATTAAAAGATCAGGAATAGTAATATGTTCGCTTTGACTTTGAGCATCTATAGAGCTGGAAAATTTGATTAGCATCGTGATGATGTTCTTTTAGAAGCTAGCCAAGCAATAAAACCAATGTACCTGTTATTAATAATATTGACAATGTAAATAATAGTAAGTTAGATTGGTTTGATTAGTTTTATTCAATTTTTATCTTACTTGCATAAGGCGGATAAAAGGATTCACTAACCAGGTCATCACATTTTTATATAATTCCTAGGATTGATTTTATTATACGTACGCTTTTAGAGAAATTACGTTAATATGATCACATCACAAAAATCTGATCAACGGACTCTCCTTAATTTAACAATAAAAGAATTTAATGCTATCCTATATGTAAAGATCATCAAGGGTTCTTTTACAATAATATACGTAATAATTTTGAGAATATGCGAGAAAGTTTGAGAATAAAAGTCCTTGGATCTTCACTAGCAATTTTAATTTGCTGATCCAGATTTCTTAAATTACCCTGTATTAACATGCAAATATGCTCAAGTAATAAAAAATTAGCATGTATGGTCTAAAAGATTGTACAAATCGTCACGAGAAAAATATTTGACTACATTGCTCAAGTCACTTAGTATCTTAAACTTTTTTTATTTGCAATACATTGAGCTAAGATAAATTACATGGTGTGGGACTAGCCCTGGGTATATGATGCCATTCTATGATTGTAGACTATTATACTTCAAATGATATTTCTCTATTCTAGTTTTTTTTCTTTGAGGCAAAGTTCGAAATACATGCTATGTCATATGATAATCGTGAAGACTCTTCACACTTCTAGCCAATAGAATCAGGATCTACCAACTAATAACTTTAATAACGTATTACTTAGGTATTACTACACATGATGCTGTTCTGCACCTTTCGACTAAACCATTCACGTGATTCAAAGAAAAGAAATATATATACGAATTTGCATAATTCAGTAATTATTTCACCTAATAATTCTCCTAGACGGTTACCGCCACTGACTGAAGTGGTCCCCCAACCTGAGTCAGTGAAATTTTCTTAGCAAATTTTTTTCAAGCAATACTCCTCTATTCTAATCCTTAGCCGTAGTAGTTAATTTGAAATTTACTAATATATAAAATATGCGAAAAAATAAAGAACAGTGAATTGATATAAGGTTATTGATTATAGATTAAATGTTTTGGATACCTGATTAACGAATTCCTTAATTTTTTGTATCCTTTTAGGAATAACAATTTTCAGTTTTTCATCATACCATACTTCAAGGAGAGAAATTCTATTATCTTGACATATGGGAGGCAGTCAGTAGAAAAAGGGGAAATCCACTTTTTAGTCAAAAATTTTTTTATTTGTTTACTCTGCTGATCATGGTCATGTGAACGATACTAGCTTAATAACTAAAATTACTCAAAATTTGTAGATTTCCCTCTTTCTATTGACCGCCCCATATGTATCATTTTTGCCGATCACGATTAACAATATCTTCAAGTTTTTTGATATTTTTATACCAGCTGGTACTATGAAACCGATGCTGAGCCCCTTGCACTTCTAATGCAATTCAATATTTTTGGAAGAAGGTATCAAGCTCTAATCTATTTAAGAAATGAGGGTGATACTCAACTATGGGTTCTTCTCCAAGCAATACTTGAGCAATTAGAATACACTTCTCCTGAAACTTACGATTTTTCTTTAGATCTAATTCTTTTTTAAGTTCCACTATATCTTATTCCAATTTCACAACTCTAAATCTAAGTTTAGCATTCTTAGCATTGATATCTGTTCTATTTTTCTCTAGCTCTTCGATCTTGGTCTTAAACTCAGCTTTTTTAACATCATGCCTGGCATATTTCTCCTCAATCACTTTTAGAAACTCAATTCTAGCAACACGTCTGTTATTCTCTTCCATCATCTCTTTTATGAGCTTCACATTTCTGGCTTTAACCTTAGCAAGCTCCTTTCTAAGTTTGGAAATCTCAGAATTCTCGGCCTCAAACTCAGTAATGCGTTGCTTTAATAAATCTATTTCAGATTCCATATCTGTGTAATATCAAATGTTAGTATTTAAAATCGATAAAAATATGTAGATTATTCAGATTCTGATTCAGTTTCAGAGCTAGAAGATTCTGAATCAGAACAGTAGTAATCTAAAGATTTTAAATTACAGCAACTTATATCAAGATATTCTAATTTATGACAAGTATAGGCCAGCACTTCAGTAACTCTATCAGTGATATCATTACCATCAATTTCTAAGTATCTTAAATTCAGAGATCCTTTGATGATGACTATAATCAATTCATCATTCCACAAAGCCATAGTCCTACTAAACTCAAGATACTCTATTTTGAAGCGTTTTTACATCAAAGTACTAGCATCTTTGATATCCCCCTTACTAAATACAATATCAAGATTTCGTAAATTTAGACATGAGTTTAAGATGTAACATAGATTTATCCGTAATTCGCCTTGCTTTGGTAAAATGGAACTCTTGTATATTGTGACAATTTTCTGTGATTTTAAACAAAGATTTATCAGTAATATTTCTGCAGTAAGAAATATTTAGATATTCTAATTTATAGCGTGAATATACGATTGCATATAAGCCTTTATCGGTTATTACTTAAGCATCCCATAGGTTGAGATATCTCAAATTAGGATATGATTCCGCTATTATAGATAGCATTATATTACTGAAACCTTCGCTATTTTTGAAATTCAAATGAATTATATTTGAAAAGGTATCCACAATGTTTTTTATTTTTTTATCTGAAAGTAAATGGTAATAAGTAATTTCTAGATGGGTTACATTCAAGACATAAGCTGGCTTATGCTTTTCATTCATTATTTTTATAAATCTTTTCTATCTAGTACGATCTCTCTCTCGATAGGTATAATTATCTGGAAAATAATGGCTATATTTCAGGTCATTCCCCTTTAGTTTGATGTATTTCTATAAGCTAGGAACAGCACATCTATACCAAAATCAGTTAATAAATAGGATAGAATAGAGCGACTTATCTATTGCTAAAAAATGTAAAATCCATTCTAATAGTTCTGGTAAATAAAAGATGCTTGATTGTGCTATACATAGTGCATATTATATGTTATATCTTTAAACAAAAAATAAAATTACACAATCAGTGCTCTGAACTATCTGGCAAGAAAACTACATCCAGCTGATCTTTTCCTAACACTGTCTGACCTTGGCTAATTTTTTCCAGATATCAGGTGACGGTACCCAGATTTAAATATTTTAATTTAAGATATAATCCAATTTCCTCAAAAGTTTTATAGGTAATTTTACATCTGTAAATATCAAAGCTGTTGGATTCTCGGATAAGAATGAATAACATTCTAAATCACTATTTCAAAAAATTCTTTGCGAGAAGAAATACTCAGATATTTTAATTTATGACATAAATTTGTGACTACATATAGACCTTTATCAGTTATTAATCCATCATCATACCCCTTCAAGTTGAGATACTTCAGATTGGGGTATAATTCTACTATTCAATTTAATGTTTTATCACTGAATCCTGCACTATTATATAAATTTAAATGAACTATATTTGGGAACAGGTCTACAATGCCTTCAAATTTTTTATCTGAAAGTCAATAGTAGTTTGAAATTTATAGATGAGTCACATTTAAGCAATAAACTGGCTTTTGCTTCCCATATATTATTTTCATAAAAATTTTTCATATGTTACTCTTCTTTAGCTCTACACATCTTCATAGAAT